GAGGTTGAGTAGGATTTGGGGTGTGGGGCGGGCCGGGGGGCGCCCGGGAGGGGGCGCCGCTTGGGAGTGCGGCGGCGCTCCCGCCGAGGGTTCGGATCCCATGTGGAGACCGGTTCCTGCTCACTGGCTGAGCGCGGTGCGGGCGCAACACTGAGGGTTGCGATCCCATTACCGGTCAGTAAAAAAGACAAAAAGGAGGAAAAAAAAAAAAAAGAATTTGAGGTTGCATTTGATTTGTGTGATTTTTCCTGTAGAACCAGCAAATTACCAAGAGGAAAAAGAAGAAAAAGCAAGATAATTTACAAGGTGCACCTTATTACTTGAAAGATGGAGATACTATTGGTATTAAGGTAAGTTGATTAACAGCAGATTTACCACCTTGTCAAGACATGAGGATCAGATGATTTTATAAAGAAGTTTTATCCTATCTTTAAGACACAGATAATCCCGTTTTATACAAATTGTTTCAGAGAATGGATAAAAAAGAGGGAAAGCTAGACAACTCATTGTATGAGGCCACTAGAACTCAGTATCAAAACTGACAAGGACAGAAAAAGAAATTTTAAGTCAATTTCACTTATCATAAATGTCAAATTCTAAATAAAATGCTAGCAAGTCAAACCCAGCAAATGTGTTATAAGAAAACATTACTATGTGACAACAAAGTGGGTTTATCCGAGGAATGCAAGGATGACAGTGTCAGTAATATATTACGTAATGCCCTGTACTGTCAGGTTAAAGAAGAGCAATCGTATGGTTAGTCCAACAGATGCCGAAAAAGCATAGGATAAAATGTAATAATAAAAATCCAATGTTTGTTCATGATTTTCTTAAAAAAAGAACTTAAAGCAAACTAGGAATAGAAGGAAATGTACTCAACCTGACACAGGTACCTACCCAAAACCTACAGCAACACACAGAGTGAAAACTTGAAAACCATTTCCATTAAAGTCAGACCCTAAATAAGGATTCTGTTAATCACCACTTCTATTCAACATTGTACTAAACAACAGGGGAAAGGTAATATGTCCTCCCTCACCCCAAAGAAAAGTAAATAAACACTGAAGTAAAATAAATTTTTAAAGGAAAATATAAAACTGTTCTTACAACAGAGTCAAGAGACTGTACAGGTAAACCTTTAGATCTAATAAGAGAGTTGAAAAGTTCCAAGATCGATATATGTAAAACTACAAGGTACCTAGGAAGACATCCAACAAAAGATTTATACAACCTTTCTGGAGAATATTACAAAAATATCACTGAGCAGTATTAAAGAAAGCTTCAGTTCGATACAAAGCCATATCATGTGCTTGGAAGGGAAGCCTCATGATAGTAAAGCTCTCCGTTCTTCCTAAATCAATAAATTCAGTATAATTCCAGTGGAAAACCATATAGAGTAGATTAGATAAAATAAATAGAATAAATTCATATGCAAGAGCAAAGAACCAGGGAGCTAAGATATTTTTAAAGAAGAACAAGACCAGGGTCCTTGCCTTAAAAGACCGTACAGTTTACAGGCAGGTCTAGGCAAACAGGCGAATGGATAAGGTAGAAGCTCGAAACCAGAATCACACATATAAGGAAACCTGACAGATATTTGAAGCAACATTAAAAATGGATTATTCAATAAATGGTGCTGGGAGAATTATTTGTATAGGAAAATTGTATTCATAATTTTGATTTAATTTTCATAAAGAGGGGTCCCAGATTTTTATGAGCTTCAGGCCCCACAAAAACTATATCCACCTTTGCTCACACCAACTACAGTTGTCAGTTTCAGTTGAAGTCTTAAATGTGAAAAGCAGTCATTTTCAACCTTTAGAAGAAAAGATAAAAGAAAATCTTTATGACTTCAGGTTAAGAAGGATTTCTTAAAATAAGAAACAAGAAGCACAAACCATAAAGAAAAGGATTGATAAATTTGGCAACATTAAAAGTAAAAACTTTTTTTCATCAAAGGAAACCATAAAAGAGTGAAAAGATAGCCACAGACAGGTGGAAGATGTATGCAGTAATATAACTGACAGGGGAAGTTATCCAGAACATATATCATACTTTCACAAATCAGTTACAAAAAGACAACCCATAGAGGAGAAATGGGCAAAGGTTGTCACCCGGCAGTTCACAGAAGAGAACTGAATAGCCGGTAAGCACGTGAAGAGGTCATCAGCTTCCCAGGTCATCAGGGTACTGCAGGACTCAGCAGTGAGCCGCTGCTTCTAGCAAGGCTGTCCCAACTCCCACACACCACCAGCAGGACATCGAGTTGGTACAGCTACTCTGGAGAGCAGTTTGGCAATGTTTTGTACAGTAAAAGATGCCCATGTGATTCAACCAAGTAATTCCACTCCTGGACATATATCCTAGAACTAGCACGTATGTGTGAGGAGATGTGCAGAAATGTTCACTGAAGCCCTACGTGTGATGGCGTAAAGTGGAAAGAACTTCAATGACCTGTAGAAAGGGGACAGATAAAATGAAAAAAAAAAGTATTGATACAGTGGTATGATACATAGCAGTTAAAATGAATAACCCAGAGCCACATATGCCAACATGAAGATACATCCAGATAATTAATGTTAAAAAACAAAACAAACAAAATGAAGTCACTGAATGATACTGCAAAATGATCATTTATATAAAGTATCCCTGAGGGTTATGTCCCTGGTGGTAACAGAATAAAAGTGAAGATGGGAGCAATAACACTAAACTCAGTGTAGTTGCTACCTCTACGGCGGGGGGTGGGGGAACATCAACAGAATCCATTAAATATTTTCCTTTAAAAATAAAAATGAAGGGCCGGCCCGCTGGCGCACTGGAGAGTTCGGATCCCATGTGGAGACCGGTTCCCGCTCACTGGCTGCGCGCAGTGTGGGCGCAACACTGAGGGTTGCGATCCCGTTGCCTGTCCCCAGTACGGGCGCGACACCGAGGGTTGCGATCCTGTTACCGGTCAGTAAAAAAGACAAAAAGGAAAAAATAAATAAATAAATAAATAAATAAAAATGAAGCAAATATGGTAAAAGGGTAATACTACTAATAGCTAAATTTTCCTGATCGTTTTCTTATGTGCCAAGCACTATCCATGGATACCTTTAATTCATTTAATCCTCACGACAGCCCTGGGAAGTTGGTGGCATTTTAAGATAAGGAAGGTGAGGCACAGGGGAGTTACACAGCTTGTTCAAGGTACACAGCTCATGTGCCCGTGGATTTGAGCCCAGGCATGTTCTGACACCTGTCCCCAGAGAACATGGGTGTCTGTCCCATTATTTCTGTGTTTTCTCTTTTTTTGTAATGTTTCACAATTTTTTTTTTTTTGTCCTTTTTGAGACCGGCTGCACCGCGCTCAGCCAGTGAGCGCACCGGCCACCCCTATGTAGGATCCGAACCTGCGGCGGGAGCGCTGCTGCACTCCCAGTGCCACACTCTCCCGAGTGCGCCACGGGCTCGGCCCACAATTTTTTTTTTTTAAGATGACCAGTAAGGGGATCTTAACCCTTGACTTGGTGTTGTCAGCACCACACTCAGCTAGTGAGCTAACCGGCCATCCCTATATGGGATCCGAACCCATGGCCTTGGTGTTATCAGCACCGCACTCTCCTGAGTGAGCCACAGGCCGGCCCCATTATTTCACAATTTTTTAAAAGTATATCATGCACAACTTGTTGGAACAGAAATTATAATATTTGTTTATCATGTCAGTTTCCTCACCCGAAGGGTGCACTGATGGGCAGCCAAAGCCTCCTGCAGAGCTCCAGCTGCTATCAGAGTCACTGAAGGCTGTAAATACCACGTGTAACTAAAGCTTACTCTCCCACGTGCACACATAAGAATATGGCCAGTAACCTGGGGAACTCTTAACCGGGACCTGGCAAACCCTCAGAATTGTCTTTTTCCTGAGATGCTTTCCTTCCTAGGTGTGTATTTTGATGAGTCAACGCTCATTGAGGCATCCTCCCTCTGGGCATCTGAGGGGAGAGGCTAACATTTATCATTAATAATGTTTGTAGCATATATAAAAGTAACTAAGTACTGGGGAGCACACATGGTCACTGGGTAGAATTTATTGAGCGCGCTGTATCTGTAAATCCCTGCAGGACATAGTCCACGCCTTTCAGAAGCTCACAATTTAACTAGAGAAATGCGTAGAGGTGAAAACAGTTTGACAGTACTTAGAAAACAAACAGCTGTGTTTCTAGCACTGCGATTAGAGATCGGTCATGATCGATGTGGATGATTTCTGTGCTTTATGTTCTTAACTTACATCCTTTTTAAAGCCCTTTTTGTTGGGCTTACTCCCAGTAGGAGCATTTGTAGTTGAAGGCAAAGGTCAGATGACTGAAAATCAATTTCCCTCGTGAAGCTCTTCCTGCCACCCAAGTTTATTTTCATCAAGCACTAGAATGTTTTTGGGGTTTTCTGGGGTACCCAGAAAGCTGGCCGGTACAGATAAAATGTTTTTTATCAGTTATTAATCTAGTTTTTATAAATGTGAATACTTCCATTTGTCAATTTAGGTACTTTTTAAGGCACCTCTCTCTCTCTTTTTAAATCTTTTTTTGGCTGCTGGCCAGTACGGGGATCTGAACTGTTGACCTTGGTGATCCAAGGCTGGGTTTTAACCAACTGAGCTAACTGGCCAGTCCTAAACACCTCTCTTTTAAATGTAGGCTAAAAAGATGTCTGAAAACATTGCTCATTAATTATTTTGAAATATAGAATCTGCTGGTTGATGACGATGATGATTTCAGTACAATCAGAGATGACGCTGGGAAAGAAAAACAGAAACAGCTCGCTCTGGGGAAGAAGAAAAGGTAATTATGAGGACCTGCGTTTATGTGCTCGGAACCTCCAGGGGTTCTGACTTTTTCTTACTCCTGCTGAGAACTACTGATTACGGCTTGGAACTCCCCTTACATACAACTGCATTGCGAAGAAATGCCCACATTTCTCCATCTTCCTTAGATTGCGCCTTGTAGAGCTTTCTGTGGCATGTGTGGGGACAATGTGGCCCCCAGAGTCATCATGAGGAGGCCTGCAGCAGTGCCCCGGGCCACATCCTGCTCGCTCCCCTGGGCATCCTCGCCTGTTTCCTGGGCCTTTTCCTTCACACCCAACACCCTCTAAGATCTGCACTGCTCCTGGGCGTGCCTCCGTTCCAGGCCTCCCACTCTTCTCTCCCGGGTGGGTCCGAGGGCCTGGCTGCTCCTGCAGCATGACACTGGCGTCCTCAGCCAAATTCTCTGTGCTGCTCGGCCCCGCCCAGCCCCGTCCCACAGGGTCCCCCATCCCCTCTGGCTGCCAGGGCGCTATTCTCTCCTCTCACCTCCAACTGCCCTTGCAGTCTCTGTGGGGGCTCCTTTCCCTGCCCGTCCATCAGATGCTGGCACCTGCCTGCTCTTGCCCCACCATACACTCCGCCCGAGTCACCTTGCCTTGGGGAGCTCACTCTGTTTCCTCTCGGGGTGAGCCATAAATCTCTGCACATGGCCTCTGGGCAGTGCACACCTGCCAAAATCTACTGGAACATTCTGCAGTAACTTCAGACTCCACAGGCGTGAAGTTCAGTTCACTCTGCTCAACCCAACTCAGCCCCAGGAGTCCCACCAGCCTGGCCCACACGTCACCTCCACACAGGCCACTCCAAAGGCCCCGGGGGCGCCTTCCTCTTCTCCCCACTGCTGGTTTCAGTAACTCTCACACTGTCCTCAGTCAGCCTTTCCTCGTGCTCTGCTTCTGCCTTGGCTGATTTTGTCTTTTCTTACCCACAGCACTGCAGCAGCTTTAATGATCTACACCTGATCTGGCCTCTGATCACCTAATCTCCCTCTCCCTGCCCTTCAGCATCTTGGGTACCCATGTGCCAGGCATTGCCTGCCCTCTGCCATCAGGACCGTCTGCCCAGTCCAGGGCCTGTCATCTGCATTTCCATCTGTGTGAGATAGAGTGTTTTGCTCTCACTAAAAATCTTATCCTGAGCCTCATGTATCCCATTTGCATAACAGAACAGTTGTGTCTCACAAGCAGCGTGATGGAACCACTCACTGTATTGCTTTTTATTTACTCTAACTTTATTTTTTGGAGTTAACAGAGTCACATGCTTCCAAATTCAGAAGCCACCAAAGAGGCTCACAGAGAAGTCTCTGCACCGCCCCCCCATCACACAGCCCCTCCCAGATGGGCCAGCCTGACCGTCACCTGTGCAGAAGCACACATGGGCAAGCCTTGCGTTTTGCCACAGGAGTTTCCTGGTGCGCGCTGCTGTCATGTGCCAGTGTGTGCTCAGCTGCCCCTTCCACGCACACCTGCTCACAAACTTGCAGGGCATGTAGAGACTTCTCTGTGAGCCTCTCTGGTGGCTTCTGAATTTGGAAGCATGTGACTCTGTGAACTCTCCAAAAAATAAAGTTAAAATAAAAAGCAATACGGTGAGTGGTTACATCATGCTGCTCATGAAGACACAACTATCTACTGTTATCCAAACTGCCACTGTCACTGAATAGACCCGGAGAGTCTCAGTCTGAAATAAAGATGTGGGTGTGTGTACGACAAAGCTCTGCGTGTGGAATTGCTGGATAAAGAGGTAATTTTGGAAATACACCTGCAAATAAATAAAAGACCAACCTCGGAGAGTCTCAGTCTGAAATAAAGATGTGGGTGTGTGTACGACAAAGCTCTGCATGTGGAATTGCTGGATAAAGAGGTAATTTTGGAAATACACCTGCAAATAAATAAAAGACCAAGAATCCAATAAAAATATAGGTAAAGGGTATAAGCAGACAGTTCACAGAAAAGGAAATACAAATTGCTTGCCCACGTATAAAAATATGCTCAGCCAAATTCATTCATGATGAAAGATATGTAAATTTAGGGCTGGCTGGTTAGCTCAGCTGGTTAGAGCGTGGAGATCAAGGGTTCGGATCCCTTTACCCGTCAGCCGCCAAGTTAAAAAAAAAAAAGAGTAAGGTGAATCCAGACTACTCTGAGCTATCACTGCACACCACGACAAGTGCCAGATTGAGAAGGACTGATGAGGCCAGCGTGGCAGGGATGCAGGACTCTCGGCCTCTGCTGCTGGGTGTGGAGTTGGTGCTAGCACTTGGAAAATGTGGCAGTGTCAGCTGATCACACACCTCTGCTGTAGCCCAGTGGCTCCACTGTGAAGTATGCACTCCACAAAAAGACGGGCACGTGCCCACCAAACACCGCAGCCAAAGCTGCCTGCTGTGCTCGGCTGAGGGGGGACCTGCTGGGCAGTGGCGCGGGAGGGTGCCCTGTGCCAGGGTTCCTCAGTGTGGTCACAGGCAGCAAAAACGCATCTCCTGGGCGGTGCCAGGGGTGGTTCTCCTGGGGACTGAAGGGGCAAAGCCGCCTGGGTCGAGGGACACAGGTGTGAAAGCTTGTGACGATTCATGGTGCTGCGCATGTGTGATCTGTGTGACTATGAATGTCACACGTCAGTTTAAAAAGTGAAGGAGAACAGATTCCGTTGCTGTGAGGCCTTTTCACCGAGCAGGTTGGAGAAGCCGCAGAGTCTGTGACAGGCAGCACGGTCAGGGCATGGGGAGCCTGCTGTCCTTGCACATGGGACTGGCAGAGGGTGACCTGGGGTCCTCTGGTGGGGCAATTTGGAAATGTCTGTCAAAGTTGCAAACACGTGTGCTGTGGCCTGTTCTAATTTAACCCCTAATATTGGAAGGAGGCTGGCAGGTTAGCTCGTTTAGAGCATGGCACTGGCAATACCAAGGTCCAGGGTTCGAGCCCTGTACTAGCCAGCCACCAGAGAAAAAAGGAATGAATTTTGGAATTATTCTAAGTCCTTTGACCTAGTGACCCGACCATGTCCTTGACTATGAGTCAGTGACATCTTTGTGTCTCCCACAGCCAAGAAGCCCTTCGTGCGCACAGCAGCGATATGTTCACCAGTGCAGGGATGCCGGCCCGGCCCAGAGGACCAGAGGCTTCTCTCTCCATCCACGTTGGGAGTTTCAGATAGCAGCAGCAGCAGGACAGCTCCGGGGCCGCAGCGCCAGGTTCTACACTCTTGATGCAACTGCCCAGTCGACTATGTGGAAGCGGGTTTTGTCAGTTTGTGGATTGACTGGTTGGTTGCTTGTGTAGCCTCAGATCCCAAATCCTCTGCTTCGTTATGAGCAAAGGGAAGCCAGGCAAATGCACTTGATTGCCCAGCTCTGCGACACACCCCAGCCCACAACAGGTGCCAAGCAGCTACTCATCTCTCACACCTGCCCCAGCCCCCTTTCACCAGAAAATGCACTACCTGTGCAGTAACCACAGGGAGGGTGGAGCATGTTGCCTGAGTCTGACGGATCTGCGTAAAATACACACTGCTCAATCCCTTTTTCTTACACTGTCCAGATGACTGTGTGGGCCATCTGCAGGGTAGTCTGTGTTTTCCAGATTTCACGTCCCCCACACCGTTCTGGTCCTCACATATTACATGTCCCCCCATTGGTCTGAGTTAAAATTGTGATTCTGGTGCTGATAACACCAAGGTCCAGGGTTCAATCTGAGCTGTGGCCAGCCACCAAGAAAACCAAAAATGCTGTGATTCTATCGTGTTAGCTCCCTTTCCACAATGAGGAGACAGATGGACCATCCTGCAGTTAAATGTGCTCTTCTAAAGACAAGGAAGCCTCGGCGTGGCCAGCTCCGCAGCTCCCGGGGCTTGGTCTGACCTGAGATGTCTGTGATCAGAACGTTCTCGCTGCTGCCCGCAGCACCTCAGCCTGGAGGGAAGCCGTCATCGCAGACAAGCCCCTCACCACCGTGGGTTTCACGTTGCCCCGGACAGCCTGAGTTGATATTCCTGACTAGTCTCAGTTAAAACAGATGTGAAAAAGAAAATGTAAACTAAGATTTTTTCCTTCTTAATTGAACACAGATAACTACTCAATGTTAAGGAATTAGTTGGTATTTATAACAAACACAGCATCTGTGTTACTGAATTGACTGATACAGGACGCCAGGGTGGTAGACTTTCTCAAAGCTGATTTAGTCTAAAGCAGCTTCCTAAAAAGATGTAACACATTCTCAACCTGGTTATCATCTGGATTCCACACGACTCCTCATCAGCCCTTCTGTCATTGATATTAAAACAGAACTGAAGTGTTGAGATGGGAAGAAAACGACACCATCTCAGCCTGCACCCTGGCTTAAGGCATGTCAGCACACGTTGTTGGCTGTGTCACCTTTCCGTAGAGCCAACGATAAGCCAGTGGCCCTGCTTTTCCTTCTCCAACACCGTCAAAACCACCGTTGAAGAGGAACCTTCATCCCTTCTGTACGACTGTCTGAGAGATTCTGTATTATAAATTATGTACTCGTTTCTGTTGAAGCACTGGCATTGTACGAAGCTGGACTTTAACTAAACACTAACTCAATCTCAGGAGACTTGCACGTGGGTTTCAATGGCGCCCTTCTAGACGTACATTGAGGGCTTCGAATACCAAAACCATAAACATTATGATTAACCTTTCGTAGCTGGAGGCCCAGCCCTTCTGTGCATAAGCCATTGTTTCTTTCACTGTAACGGACGCATTTCCTTACTATGCCCCTTCATCTCAAGGTAATAAAATGTTAATGCCATAACTGAAAAGCTTTGCTTTTGAGAAGCCAGAGGCCCCAGTGAGCATTTCCAAAAGTACCAAGATGAGGCTGGGAGGATGTGCCCAGAAGTGCCATCAAGCAGGGCACCTGCAGCCTGGGCCTGTATGAGCTGCATTTCTTTCCTTCCTCCCTTTTTGTTTTCTGTTTGTTTTGTTTTTTTAATTTGGGGATAAATTGAAGGTTTGGGGATAAATTGAAGGATGCAGGAAGAAATCTGTAAGATTTTGTTAAAGGACAAATAAACCATTTTTAAAGTCGTCGTTAGTTTCTGTTTAGTGCCAACTGCTTCCTGTTCTCACTTGAGAGGAAATTCTGTGGCCTTTCCCCCCAGGCGTACGTACTGCAGATGGTCACATAAACTAACATGGTTTATATTTAGAAATACTCTATCAGTACTGCCTTCGAAGTAAGAGAAGTATGTTTGGGTTTTAAATGAATTACAACTCATGGGAACAACTGTACTGGAAGAGGCTGGACATAGTCTAGTTCTCTTTTCCTTCTGGGGAAACAGGACTGGCAATGGTGGTTGAGTTGCACAAAACACTTAAACTGACATTTTTTCTGGCCAAAAATGGGAGGGGCAGGAATTCCCAGATAATCCCAAATCCAGTAGATGTTGGCTTCCCTCTGGAGTAGATGTAACTATAAGGGACCGAATTATGACGGCCCCTTCACCCTGTCTGGACAAGAGGCCACCAAAAGGTCATCGCTTTCATTCTGTTCGTCATTATGCGCCCATTCAAAGCACGGCAGTGATACGGTTCAATAAAATACATGACGGTATCATGGGTATGTTTACATTCTGGAAATTCATGTATGGAAAGTAGGAGATGGAAGTGGTGGCCTCAAAACGCAAGCGGAAGAGAACGTCTCCAGCCGCTCCACATCCCTCTGTCGTGCACACATGCATGCACGCTCCAGGAGAGCACACCTCCATTTGCAGGTGACTGGCCCCAGCTCGGGCTGGCTGGAGCAGAAGGGGGACCTCCTGTCTCATGCAACAGAGCCCAAAGTGGAGCTCAGATCAGGCCAGGAGAGGCCGGTGCTCAAAGGACAGCAGGAGCCTCTTGCAGGCTGTCCCATCTCCCACAGGCTCTGCCCTAGGCACCAAGATGCTACCAGCAGCTCCATTACAGCTCATCAGAGGCAAAGTGCCACTCTGTAGGGACCTGTGTCCTGTGCTCGAAGTGGGCAACTTGCCACCTGCTGTCAGCTCCATTCAAACAATAGTGAGGGAGTGTGTGAAAAGGGTTGCTCAAAAGGGCTTCCATGCACCGCGAGCAGAGGTGGCCGAGTCCGCCAAGCTCCTCCTCCTGCGTGTGAGTCAGAGATGACAGCACCCCCTCAAGTGTCTGTTCCACCTACAGCCCAGCCACACATTCCCCGACCCCCAAGGGAGGCAACACAGAGTGGCCGCCCGCTCCTGCTCCCAGCCCTGCACGAGGCCCACTGCTCTGCCTGGCCCAATGGACACAACCCCACCTGGTCCAGCAACCTGTGGCTAAGCGACAAGTGCGCACCCGACCTGGAACCAGTGTCCAAATGACGACGACGACCATGGTAAAACTCTCTTGTGGACAACAGAGGAGGGAACAAATCCGGTGGTCAGTTAACAGTACTGGATCACAGCAGGTTGAAACTGGCTAACTGCACTCAACTTGCTTTCTCAATTGTGGATGAGCCCTTACGAGGATCCCTTTAAAAGCGATCAAGACCCCATTCTCTCCAAATGACTGCGATGTGACACCCTGCAGTCACATTACTCTCCAATTGTTCCCTTTCCTTTGGATTGCCACCTGCCCCCCTCCCCCATCCCCAGATGCCACCTCTCCAGGAAGCCCCTTCCTGGCTGCTTTCCGAGGCAATGGAGCCACACCCCGTGTGAGATGGGCGAAACCCACACCTGCCTCCCCAGGCCTGCTCCTACCCATTTCATCCAGCAGGGACACAGGGCCCAGGCCACAGGTACCAGAAAGCCTACCTTTGACTTGGGTCCTACTTCCTCACCTATCAACTTGGGCTGAGCGTGGTATGAGGCCTGGGGCACAGGACTGCACAGCACTAGAAGAGGTATGACCTTGGTGCCCAACTGCCCTGTGATGCCCATCTTGGCCAAATGCTGTGTCATCAGGCAAGTTGTGTAGCCTCTCTCAGACTGCTTCTCCGTCTGTTAAATGTACATCCCCACCTCACAGGCTTGTTAGGGGGATTAGAGGAGTTAATGTGTGTAATGTACCTAAGCCCGCACCTGGAATAAAGTACTGCGTGTCAGTCATCAGCACCGTGATTGTCATCACTACAGCCCGTCCCCTTTGCACTGATTGGTTTCATCACAGGTGTGTAATGCAATTCTAGCCAATTCCAGACACTAGGGAAGGTCAGCTGAAGCCAGGGCTTCTGAAAAGGCTCCGTTTATCTTAAAAAGAGACACACATAGGAGACAGCCACCTGCCCATACACACAACTTACAACAGACATGGTCATGTCTGGATGTGACACTTGGAACTGTGGCAACCATCTTGCAGCCACGAGACCTGAGGTCCTGAATAGCCACGTGAAGGAGAATGCACACCAGGGGAAAAAATGGGGCTCTGTTAGAGAGGACAAGGGAAGGCAAGCAACACTTCCAGAGCCCACGCAGCCCTTCTGCAGCCTGCCAGTCTGACTTTCTCCTCCACGAACCCAGTCTCGATCCCTCGCTCCAGGAAACGGGGGATGACAATTAAAGTGACCTTGATCTTAGAGAGGCAGTCCCCTTGGAATAAAGGTACTAAGACTAACCAGAGAAGCAGGAGAGCCTCGGGTCTGCAGCTCGACGCGAAGGCTGTAAGAGGCAAGAGACACCAGCGGGAGTGACTGGCCCTCCCAGCCTCAGCCGAGGCTGCGTGTGATCTGCCCGCCTGAGCTTCCAATCCAGAAGGTTACAAAACCCACACCCTAAAAGATACAATGGTGTTCTGTTCTGCTCTTCAGCAACTGACAGAGCCGAGGCTGCGTGTGATCTGCCCGCCTGAGCTTCCAATCCAGAACGTTACAAAACCCACACCCTAAAAGATACAATGGTGTTCTGTTCTGCTCTTCAGCAACTGACAGTCCAGCCTATTTTTAGAGCCGTTGAGAAACAATTCTGAATCCAATTTGGAAAGATTTTTTGTCAACCAAAATTTTATGTCAAAGCACAAGGAATGAAGATGAGGACTCTGACAACGGAAGATCAAAACAGGCTTTATTTATACCGGGAACAACGTATTTACAGCACGCAGGTATGGACTATATACACGACACGAGAGGCATTCGCTTCCAAGGCGGTCACTGTATAAATTAAGATTATAAATATGAGGGGGAAGCCCCACCAAGGGCACAAAACCTTTTCTCCAAGACTTTTCAGGAATCCTTCTTTCCTCTACTGGACAGGACTGCTGGGCCCCAAGACCCTGGACATGGGGCAGGCAGAAGAGCAGCCCAACAGGCAGCGGGGACACCACGATGCGCAGGGACACCAGCCCGGCAGTTTCCTACAACGTGCATGTCCATTACTTTTCTAACTTGTTAGAATTAGAAAAATGGTTTTTACGTAAACAGTACTGTTTTAATCACTGACAACACACAAATTTTAAACAACACTCTTGAACCAAACGCAACGCTTTCCCCAGAGGAGGAAACTGAGAACTTGGGTGGCCCTGGTGCCAAACGCTGGGCCCTGGGAGGCCCCCAAACTGCCATCACCTTCTTGTCCTCCTCGTGTCCCCTCACCAGGGCTTGCCCTGGGAACCTCGGAGCCCAGGGTGCGCCGCCCCACCGTGCTGGGACCGAAAGACAAGTGTCCATCAACTGCGAGCCTTTTGCACTTGGGAAATTGACTGCTGTGGCTCGGTTATTTCTTCCTCCACCTACTTTCATCTAAAATGGCTGTCCTGCGAGAAACAGAATCAGAGGTGGGAAAGGCAACCCACAACTGTTTTGCTCCCAATATCACTTCCAATGTATGGAGCATGAGATTATTTCACCCAAAAATCCTAACGCCAACACGTCACCCACAAGGACAGGCGGCCATGACAGTGGAAGCGCGCCCTCTCTCTTGCCACACTCTCAGGGGACTCGGCCCAAGCACCGCCCCTCGGGGGACCAGCGGAAGGCAGCACCCCAGGCCACAGAGGCAGGGCCAGGGCTGTGAGGGGATCCACCTGGTGTACCCTGCTAAGGGGAAACGTGGACAGAGGGGTCTGCAAAGCAAGTGGCAGGCACAGCAGCGTCCGCGGTCCGCCCCTCAGCACCCGGGGTGCTGCAGACCCCGGCCCGCACCCACGCCTGGCTCGCGGGTGCCTCTGGAAGGTGCTCCTCTACGGAGAGCGCTGGGCTGCAGCCTGGCAGCCAGGCAGACACGTTCCCTCCTCAGCCAGGGCACCGGGGCTGGGTCGTAGAAAACCCCTCCCAGGGCCTGTTACGAGTCCCTGTAACAGGTGAAGAGGTGTTGGCAGAAGCAAGGGGTGCCCCTGCCTGGGCACTGTCCCCACAGGGCTCAGCCCTCCCCCCGAGGGAGCTCTGTGCTCTTGGCATCACTGTCGGCTGGTTTGGAGCTGGCCCTGCACAGGGCTGCAGCTCACACCTGGGACTGAGGCAGAGCAGGAGCAGCGTGGGCCATCGGGTCAGGGTCCCTGGTGATGCCTTCAGGGACACCAGGCATGGTAGCAGGAGACAAGAAGCCATTGCAGGGTCAGACACTCCCAAAACAGCCTCCAGGCTGTCTGTGTCCATCTGGGGACACACCGCCTGGGAACCAGCTGTTTCTCCCACAGAACGGCAGGAAGTCTCCCCAGAGCCCAGGAAGCCTTTCTACAGAGAAGTACCGCACTAATGCACACCCACACCCTCTGTCCTGGGGGGGACTGGCTGGCAGTAGGTCCCACTCATGGCCCCGGGTAGACTCCAGAGGCCTATGGCATCCTGTGGGAACAGAAGGGACCACGACCCCACACCCACAGCTCATAGGCGACGACAGACTGAAGACCGGAAAGCTGCAGTTGCCTGCTGGCTTGCATTGAGAGGCATTTTTTTCTTTCCCTTCATGTCAAATTATAACAAACAGGACTGGAAACATATCCATGCCACTTTCAAACCAGGAAAGAGCAGGACCTTTGTTTTTCTAAAAACCTTATTAATTAACAGGACGACAGCAGTGGGCTGCCTCGTGGGGCTGCTGAGAAGAACCACGAGGTGGCTGTCAGGCACAGAGGACATTTTGCCGTGGGACCACCTCAGGCTGGTCCCAACCACGCTTCCAGCAGGAGCCAGGAAATAGTGCTATTGAAGGACACATGGAGAGGAGCCCACAGGACAATCTGAGCATGTGGCCAAGGCAGGTAGGTTCTGCAGGAGTGCCTGGTGCCCGGGAGGCTGGACTTCGCCAGCGTCCCCATGGCCCGTGACACAGGTAGGTGGGAGCTGGGGGTGGGCATGACACAGTTTGCCCTGAATGGCTCCGATTTGGGAAAGTGTTGTTTCAAGGTAGCTATGTTGGTATGTTCAAGACCCCAGAGCTGTCACGAATGGGCGTCAGAGAGGCTTCCTGTCGCAGACAAAGGAGTAGCACCGTGAGAAGGGTCGGGGCTGCAGCGGTGGCGGCAGCGGCACCCTCAGTGGTGGGGGGAGCAGAGGACACAGGCCGAGAGGGCGAAGGCTAGGCCTCGGCGGCAGGGGCGCTCCGGCTCAGCTCCCTGATCCCACACAGGATCCTCTTCATGTGGCCCACTTTGGTCACGCCGAGGTCCTGCAACAGAGCACAGCACCGTGGATGCCGGGAAGAGAGCCCGGGCCAGAGGTCTCTGCAGACAGGCTGCCACCAACGGGCCCTCCGCCTCAATCCTCTGAGCACAGATGAGGTGACAACAGCGAAACCAGAGGGAAATGGCATAAAATAACTAGTGTGCAGACACCAAGCACGTCACTACTGAGTTCTACAACATCACTGATGGCCAGGACAAATCCAGCAGGACAAAAACAAAACACAGGGTGAGCACAAGTGGCTGGCAGGTGGCCTCACAAGCCCCCTTGTCTAGGATGCCCACAGGGGCCTTTCATGCTCTCGGGACTCGATGCCCAGGAGGCCACCCGGGAGGTCACCCATGCAAGGGCGTGGCTCTGCGGGGGTGTCATGAGGCCTGGTGCAGACCTGACCACACACGGGTCACCAGCCTCTCCTGCCACCCCCAGCTCAAGTGCGGCGCCCCCCAGCAGCAGAGTGGAGACAGGAGTGTGGGTGACATGCTTCAGGAACTACTTGTGGTACAAGCGCAGAGGACGCCCTGAGCCAGGGCTCTTCTCGCCTGGCTGTCGTGAGACAGTGATTCGGCGGGAACTTAGCAGTGCGGGGCTGTGTCCCCAACAGTGTTCTTAATGTTGAAATAGTTCCCTATCTAAATAGGCTAAGAAAAATCAAGCTTTTCCCCATCACATCTGCTCCTGGCTTCCTCTGGCTGTGGCACGCAGAGCCCTCACTGTCAAGTGCAATGGCCACCTGTCACCCCAAGGTGCACACGAAGGCCTGAGAAGAACCGTGAAGCTGGGACGTGGCAGGTCAGGGGAGAGGATAGAGTGGAAAGGAGCCGCATGGAAGCCCAGGTGCGGGTTCCAGGGAGACGCCCGTGGAAGTACCTTGAGGTCCCTCCGCTCCAGGTGTAGGAGCTCAGAGCCCCGGATGTCGTGCCGCGTGAAGATGTCCTTATACTCACAGAGACTGAGGTGCTCCAACCAGGCAGCAACCTCCTCTGTCCCCCAGAGGTGAACTGTCGGAGACGGAAAAGCATGAGTGCAGTGAGTGCCCAGAGCCCAGATGAAGCAGGTGGTGGCAGGCACCCAAGGCATGCCAGCAGCCAGCACCCGAGACATCCCAGCAGCCAGCACCCGAGACGTCCCAGCAGCCAGCGCCCGAGACGTCCCCAGCAGCCAGCACCCAAGACATCCCAGCAGCCAGCACCCAAGATGTCCCAGCAGCCTGCACCTACCACCCAACCACAGGCACCACCCCCAGAGCTGAAGAGGTGGGGAGCCACCCGCTCAAGCGGCTGGAGCTGCGGCAGAGCTGGCGTCTGTTCCTGCTAGGTGGGTCATCAGCCTTCTAGACACTCCTTGGTGTCCCAGGAGGGATTAAACACCAAATATATCAGAAATGTTTTGATGTGTAGCTAAAGCCAGCTTTTCCTCTAGCTTCTAGAGGGGATAAATTTCACTTTCGGACCACAGCAGGAAGGAAGACGTGCAGAGATTTAGATTTCATATAGTCAGAACCATCATTAACAGAAACCCAATTTCTGAATAAACATGCCAAGAAAAAAATCAAGGGAGCTGCCCTTACTGGCAGCAAACACACCCCAAAATCCAGGCGTGGGGCCCACCCGGTGCCCAAGAACACTAGACACAGCCTCAGTGCTCAGGGCTGACGCTTCAGACAGATTTTAAGCCCCAATTTACTGACCCAAAGGAAAAATGTCCTTCAGAACCACTTTCCATTGATTTCATCACCCACAATCACTGGTGGCCTAGGGACCTTGACCAATGAATCGATTAAACAGGAAGCAGCAGCCCATCAGAAGGGGCAGGCACAGCGGGCCCAGCACAGTCTGAGGTCAGAGTTTTGTGTCTCCAGGTTTTTTGTCACCTCTGCTGTCCTCCTCCCCACCTTGAACCCCCCAATTCAGGACAGGTAGCCTGTCACCCTGGAGTCTCCATGGAGAGCTTGTTCAGGGCAGGGTGTGACAACAGTCAACGCCCAAATGCAGAGAGGGGAAGCAAGCAAGGGTGTCGTTGTGTAGCTAGAGGCCAGTGCAACCACATGACTGAGGTCATGGCCCAGGGACCATGGGGGAAGAGCAGCAAGGCCAAGGGAGAAAGCAGAGACCAGGAGCACTGGGCAGGACAGCTGGCGGGGGCAGCCAGACACGCGGGACAGGGGCAGGTACCCGGGGCTCCCAGGCTGCTGTGGGCTTCTTTGTTCCTGTTGTTCTTCTCCTTTTTAAACTTGGTCACAAGGCGGAATTTACCACTGCGGCTGCGTTTGGAAAGGTCCATCATCACGCTCTGTCGGGGACACCAGGGAACACTGAGAATCAGACACCAATTTATCAAGGCCTCACTGACCCCTCTATCAGAGGCCGGGGTGGCAGGCGGACAAGGAGGGGCTAGGAAGGCACACTTTGTTCTTTAAAAGTTTGGTTTCCTTATTTGTTTTTGTATTTATTGTTGATTTTAATGCCTTTCATAAGTGGTTTATAAGTGATCATAGTGTCTACTTTTTTCACTTTACAATGTGCACTTATGTCATTAAAATACTTTTTGTAAATATTAAGCAACCGTATCATACTCCATTAAACAAAGATTATTGAAATAAGTTATTTAGTCAATTTTCTAGTGTAGGATTGCTAGGCTTTGATTATTAGCATTACAAGTATCTTTCTAAATAAATCTTTTACTCTTTCAAAAGGAGAGAAGAAGGTCCGGCCCGAGGCTCACTTGGGTGAGCGTGGTGCTGACAACACCAAGTCAAGGGTTAAGATCCCCTTACCAGTCATCTTTAAAAAAAAAAGGAGAGAAGAAATCTAGGATTATCAGAGGGGGGAGAGGGAGAGACTGGAAAAGGGGCATTAAGAATAAGTATGATTTGAAATAATATATATCCTAATAATATTGATTTGATCAAAATATGTCAATGTTGAACCCCCAAAATATGCATAATCAATTATGATTCAATAAAAAAAAAAATGTAACCATTGTAAAAAAAATTAAAAATTAAAGCTTTTCCTGTATTCTGCATTCTTCCCTTGGAATACACTCCCCAAGGCAGAATAGCAGAGGATGAGCAGTTGAGTGACACAGGAGTGCAGTCCCTGCTCTCAGCAACTGTCATCAGCAACCACCTCCCCACAGAGCACTCTCAGGGACACATGGAGGTAACAATGTGTCACTTTGCGATATGCTATTTATAAGAGAGACATACCAAATAAAACTTAAAAGTGTGAAAAAGAATATGCCAAGCAGACTATAAAAATAATTACTAAAGATAAAAAGGGTTATAACATAATGACAAAACCTATGTGCCCCCAATAACACAGCCTCAAAATACAAAAGACAAAAATAAACATCACAAAGATAAATTGAGACATCTACAATCACAGGAAAAGAGTTATACAGTAAATGATAGATCAAGAAGACGAAAAAAATTTTCAGTAGAGACTTAATGATGTAACAACACAACTGCATACAAGGTACATTTTAAAAAATTAAGCACACAAAATGGGCCAAGAAATTTCAAAAGACTGGTAACGTACAGACTGGCTCGGAGCACAGTAAAATAAAGTTACAAGTCAGCAAAAAAGGTAATTACAAAAATACCATACACAAATGGGAAATAAAAAACACTTTTAAATAATTCATTTAGGATGCTTATTACTTGGTACACAATTTTATGACTCTTATAATCATGAGTTTATAACTACATATAATAACATTTATAATTTAGCAATATGAAATGATCCTCTTTTTACCATTTTTGTATTAGGTATATAATTCTACTTTTATATTAATACTGTTACTTTTGATCTTTTTTTATTGTGTTTTATTGGAATTGTTTAATCTTTGTTTTGTAAGTTTTCACTGGAGATATAGGAGAGAAAACAGGGCCCTTGTGAGCAATATATGATTAAGTTTCTTTTTTAGCACATCTGAGAATTCACTTTTAAGAAAAAATTATCATTTTTCTATTGTCTTATTTTTATGCTATTAGCTATATCTTTGCTAGTACGTTATTCTCTTTTACAATATAGATTATATTTTATTTTTATCTTTTCCTGATTTGGAAAGACAAAAATCTTTTCAATTCTATTGAAAACTACCTTCAAGTTTCTAAAAACATCATTAACTCTACACTTCTCTAATTACCAAAAGTCAAGAATATCATTTTTAACTTTCTTCCACCTTAAGATGAGGAATTTAACATGCTTTTGTCCCCTGTCCATGACCTCTTCCCAGCCTTCCCACCTCACTGTCCACTTCACTGGCTTCACTGAATATTTTATATTATTTTAATAATCTCAAGTGAAATTTGTATCACATTCACAATTAACTCTTTAAACCATTTTGATGAGCTTGCCCTATCCTTTTATACCAAAACACGCCCATTCTTAAGTTGCTGAGTTTTGTCAATTGGCTTGAAGACCTCGAGTCAGTTTTTCATGAAGGGTTTTTGCATGTGTCAGCAAATGCCTGAGTATCCCTAGGAGAACATGCAAATCTGCTGCTGCCCAACTGTGTACCCTCACCCTATTGCTGCCAACAGGTCTAACAATCTAAGCTGGGCAGGGGTGCCCATGTATAGCGTCTAGCAGTTCCGTATCTTCTGTGACTGTATTACCCAAGGGGAATGTTTCTCCTGGCCCCTTCTCTTCTACCTCTGAGAGGAAGGAAGCCAAGAGGCAGTCTAGGGTTGTCCCTGCCCAGGGGCTACCCTCTCCTGGATTCCTTCCACCTACTTCCCAGCCTGCCCTGCAGTTCTATTTCAGAGGACAATGTGTGCCTGGTCATCAAGGGTCACTCTCAATTCCAACCCCCGACTCCTTCCTACCTGCCAAAGCCTCTCTCTGCTGTGAAGGACATTTTAACAGAGAAGCCTTGAGAATGCAAATCAGGGACTACAAGATCAATGCTCTCTTAATCCCAGCACTGCACAGGCCACACTGAGCACATCTCTGAATGCGAAAGCCATCACATCCAGCGGGCTCCCAAACCCTGAGATCCACGTACCTCCTCCTCACCAGGCTCCACGGGCTGGCAGAGCCAGGGGGTGTCAGCCAGCTTCCTGAGCTGTCGGTCCATCTCGGCAAGAGCAGCTCCGAGCCGCTCCTTCTGAGGGGGATCCAACTGCTGCTCCGGGGGAGGGACAGAGAGATGCAGCTGCTGATCAGTGGGCGCATTGGGGTCCAGCAAAGCCCCAGGCAGGCATAAGGTCTGCCCAGAGCCAAGCTCCTCTCAGAGAATTCTTACAAAAACTTTTCAGAAACTAAATCACAGAGCACCAGATACGGGGCCAAATCCAAGACCTCCCTTTCTATAGAGTGCCAGGTGAGAGAATAAAACTTTTTTTGTAAATAAAGAAATCATTTAGCAGGGCTGACACAAGCTCTTCCATTCTCCTTTAGGCTCCCTGTCAGAAAGCGGACAGAGCCAGTCACCTGTGCCAAGCACAGGAAGTGCAGGGAGGCAGCACACGGTGGCTGTGGTGCTCAGGAGCAGCGCGATGTCAGGGGTGAAGAGGGGAGTATAGACCCCAGACTTAGGGTTCTCCAGCTGCAGGACTTTTGGCAAATCCCTTCTATGTGCTTATTTTTTTGAAACAAGGAGGTTAGCCAGGCCATCTCTCAGGCCTTCCTATTGTAGCTGCTTCTGCAATTCAGCAACACCCCCCCACACACACACACACACACTGGCCATGGCTCCCCCAGGACTGACCTATCAGCCGGTTTTGTAGGGTCAAGTTAGGGCGGCACCGAGCCGGGCACACTGGAGAATACAGCCGGCTCTCAGCCGCTGGAGGAAGGTTTGCACCTACAGATTTCTTAGGCAGAAATATATTTTTCTGTCTACAACGAGGAGGACGTTCCTGTTGCAGAAGTCACTGACATGCTAAAGATAACCTGGCTGAGATGTTGCCAGAAGGATGTAAGCCAGAGCCCCAGCCCCGTGGTCAGAACAGATGACCTCTCAGTTCTCTCCCTGAGGCCAGGGACGCTGGACTAAAACTTCAGTGCTGCCCCCGTGCCCAGTGGCCTTCGCCAGCATTCTCTTCACAACAGCCAGAGCCTTGCTAACCAGGCATCAGCTTACCAGGGCCATCTTCCCGGCCAGCAGCAGCTCCGTCTCACTGCGCAGAGCCCTGATGTTATTCACCATCTCCAGGACGAAGCTGCAGTTCAGCCCCTAAAGGGAACCAAACAGACATCCATGTTGAAGGCCGAGCTACAGACACCAAGGAGGAGCCAGCCCTGAAAAGACCAGGTACCTCGGCAGCTCTAGGCTTGCCATACACGCGGTCCATGGACTTGGAGCTGGCGTTGACAGCATGAGCAAGTTCCTGCTCCACGTCTCGGTGGGACTGAGCTATTTCCCGGATACTTGAGAGAAAAAAATGCACGCACGGATTAGGCCAATGAGAAAGTGGCCTTTCACATCACTCATTTGAACATGGCCAAGGAACCACCAGAGGGCAGATGTGCAGGGGCTGGTCCAGCAGGCCAGGGGGGACCATGGCTCAGCCATGATGACTCCTCACAGTCACAGCCACTCACAGGCGACCTTGCAAATCATTTCCTGACCTATGCAAACAGAGGGCATAGGAGGAAAAGTTGATGTCAAAACCCAAGTTTTCCCAGCGAGGAAAATCGCAAAATGGGGTAAAGCCCCATGTAAAATGGCAAGCGGGCAACAGCACGGTTTGCTGCCCAGAGTCCCGCAGTGAGACCCAAGCAAGTCCAGGGGCACCTACGATATGCCACGCAGACCCTGAACATGCCCAGATCTGTCCTAGAGCCTACCTGCCACTCTGTACGAAGGGGACAGTCCTGGTTTAACAATGGGGAGAAGCAAGAAAGGGATGAGAGGCACCAGCCGGAGTGTGGCCTGGGGAAAGGGGGCAGAGTGCTGAGGCAGGAAGGTGCAGTGCGGCTAAAAGAGGTGGAAATGCTGGACAGGTTTGCTGGACATGGCAACGGAGGGGCTCAGCATGGCCTGCTGGAGCAGGTGCCGCTGCAGCGAACACAGGGACAGCAGGCAGAGTACACAGGGGACAGTGCTGACTACCATACCGCAGGACCACAGTGGCTCCAGGAGCTGCTTCTCAAAGGCGGGTAAGAGGAAATGCCTCTGTGGTTGTCTCTATTTTTTTAAATAAACATAGATCAGAGAGTAACCTGCTCTCTGAGATAAAGTGAAGGCAGACTGAAGGTGCCAGGCAGTAGACCACTCTTTAGGAATCCAGGAGAGGCTCTGAAAACCCCTGTGGTAGTTTTAGGTCTCCATCTATGCAAACTTGGAGCAATCTCTAGAAGACCATCAGGAAAGAAACCCACGCCAAGGGCAGGAAGAAACAGGCCCCGCCCTTGATTGGGGGCTGCACTCCAGGCCTGCATGCCATCAGGAGTGTGGTGTCCTGGAGCCCTCAGGGCCCTGGGAGCAAGGTGGAGCTCACCTGTGAATGAGGACCCCTGCTGCCTGCCCGAACTGGTCCATCTGGGTGGCCTCCTCCTCAGACAGGATCTCGGGGTGCAGAGAGAAAGAGGGCGGGCGGGGCAGCTCACCCCTCTGCTTGTCTTCCCAGGACTTCAGGGTGTTCTCAAACGCCTAGGATGCGAGAGCCCAGAGTTACGCTTTCTACTGCTCCCAGGAGCAGAGCACACGTCTAACATGACAGCTACTGCTGGGGTGTCTACAAGATGACAGCTAGGAAAGGGAGAAACACAGAGTTGGTCCAAAAAAATCACTGTCCTATTAGCTGAATTGTTGTACCTTAAATAAAAAGTCCTAGAAGAAAGTATGAAAAATCCTGGCTCTTATTTTTTTTGTTTTTTTCCTTTTTATTGTTTTTGGCTCTTCTTTTAAAAGTGCACAGGTGAGCCCAAGGACCCGCCCTTGCCCCTGCCCCCAGAGGTGCTGCAGGCAGCTGTTCTTACCCTGTCTCTGGTCAGCGTCTGGGCCCGGTTCTTGTGGACAATCCGAATGTACCCTGGGGGCTGGATCCAGGCCTCCCCATCCACCTGCACAGGCACGCCCTCATCCCCCAGGATGGAAATCTTCACCGTGCGACACTGAGCAAACACCACAGCCCTCACTTGTGTGTGGAGCCAAAACCTCCAGGGGCTTTAAAGCACTGCCAGCCCCTCTCCTGCCCCTCAGGACACCCATCAGACCACTGCTCCCCTTGGTGGCTCTTCTCCACCCACCCACTGTGCCCTCACCGAGCAGACAAGCATCTGGGGTCAGCCGGTGCAGGAGAACTTGGTGCTCAGATACAGGTGTCAGAACCCAGGGTGGGGGGAGTGGCTACCACCAGCCACCCACCAAGCCCTGCCCCATGCAGACAACCCGAACAGAGCAATCCCAGCCCGGGGCTCCAGCCTGTGAGTGTTATCAGCACCCCCGGCCAGGCAGAGAGACCCTACCCAGCGCACCTCTGCTGTAGAAATAAGTAAGTGGGAGCCCTGCCCTCTATCCCCTCCCCAGCTGGGCCCCACAGCAACCGTTCAAGGACCCCAGGCTGGAAACCACTCCCACCCACCACAGAGACTCGGGTCCCCGCCCTCTGGCTGCTGCTCCTGCCCACTGCCACCTCATCCCTCCTCAGCAGGAGAAAGTCAAGCAGAGAGAGCACAGGTCAGGTGGACACAAGTTTTGAAAGAGATTTTTGAGAGTTTAACAGTCTCATGGAGTCCATGAAAAGGGCTCCGGCCCACGACACAGGGCCAAGGGCTGTTCAGAGCCCCACACCAAGTTGGCACGTGGTCCTGGGGAAGTGCCAACTCCCCAGGTCTCTGTGAGTTAAGAGCGACTGAGCAGGTTCTCAGCCGGGCCCTGCCTCTCCAAATGTGTGTGGGCCCCAGGAGGGGACTAGCCAGACCCCTCCAGCCCACGGCCATTACCTGTGCGATCCGGTGATGCTGCAGCTTGATCACACGAGAGACGGCCATCTGCATGCTGCCAAACACGGCCACCACTTCCAAAATCTTATCATCAAATGACGGAGCTGCAAAAGTCTGCAAGGGCCAGCATGACAGCTGACCTCTGCTCCACAATTCCCCAAACACGTCGCTCCCCGACACTTGTTCTTCTGACCCTTGGGCCAGCCCTACACTATGGCCACTGCGTTGGTAACAGAGGTGGTGCAGAACTAAATGCAGGTAAATGCATTACTGAGGGGTCTGTTACAGGCCCTGCCACTTACTAGCCACGTGCTCTTGGGCAAGTTACCTAATTTCATTCTTCCTCAGCTTCCTGCTCTGTAAAATGGAGGTAACGTTGGCACTCCTCAAGGGGTTGTTAGGAGGACTGAATGTTCATCCAGGCAGAGTGCTTAGAACGGCGTCCAGCACGTATTAATTGTGCAGTAAGTGCGGACTACTTCTAGCAGCCATTAAAAACAAAGAAAGCCATTCCCCTGGTTAAAACCTACCAATACCTTCCCAGGGTTCTTAGCACAAATTCCAAACTTCTTCCCCTGGCTCACATCACTGGGCATGATCCAGGCCCCTGCGGACCCCAATTTCTCTCCACTCGCCCACTGCCCACTGCGGTCAGGGGGTCTCCCCCACAGCCCCCACGCCCTCTGCCCTGTCTCACCTCTGAGCCTTCCATCTGCTGTTCCCTCTGCCTGCAACAGCCTCCCCCCCGCCCCACCCCCATCCAGCTGATTTGGCCAACTCCGAGTCATCCTGTGGGCCTCAGCCTCCCAGAAGCCTGCCTTGACCCCTCGCACATCCCATCCCGTCCCTCACTGATGGCATCGCCCTGCTCGGCCCTCCAGACGATGTGCCTGGAGGCGAAGGGCTACATCCACATCCTGCTCCACGGCATGCCCAAGGCCAGCACAAGGGAGGCTTTCTGTCTGCCTGAGTCGTAAGAGAGCGCCGCACTGCTCTGGCTGCTCCTCCCCACCGAGCCCACCCCACACCCCTACACCCCCGGGCTTACGTCATCCTCCTTGGTGCCCCCCCAGAAGTTGGTCCCTCCGGCATAGCTGGGAATGTTAAGCACAGCGATTCCCTGAAGACTGGGGAGCGGGATGGGTCGTCCATCACACTGAGCAGCACAAATGCAGGAGGAGAGGAGAGAGAGGTGCACGCGTCAGCCAGTCCCTGTGCACGGTGTCCGCCCCAGCAGCCTCGGAGCAGCGCGAGGCTCCCCAGGGAGTGTGCACACAGTGCGACACAGCTGCAGAGAACAGGCCTCTGGCAGCAACCGTGGCAGGGAGCCACCTGCAAGTGCCGCGGAGCCTTAAGCTCACCTCCAGCAACACCTTCTGCTCCAGGTTCCTGTAGGTTCTGTGCAGCAGCTCTTTGGTACCAAGGACTCCATACCACATCATATTCTTGGTTCGACTCCTGGAACAGAAGCAAAGGCTGGAAATGGGTCTTGGCTTTCTCACACAGTCAACCCGAGTCACTGATGTGAAGGCTGGAATGGCTCCTGATCACACACCAGTGAGACTCAGCAATGACTTACAGCAGTCACCCCTGAAGGTAAGGAGGACACGTTCTTGTGACCACAGATATGCACAGAGAGACACATTAACCAACAGGAAATTCTGATACAAAGTAACATTTTACCAAGAAAGTAATTGTAACGTGAAAGGCAAATAAAGTTCAAACATTACAGAACCTCGCAAAAATTTTATACATCGTGATTTTTTTTCTGGCTATAAAAGTATGCATAGAAAATGTGGAAAGTACAGAAAAGCACAAAGGAGAAAATGACCTTTGCAACCCCAACGCCCCTAGTTACCCCATGGGTACTGAGGACGACCTGTGCACTTTCTCAGTCGCCTGTAGGTGCTGACTCCCAGTTGGGACACTATCTGCATCGTTTCACAGCCTACCTTGTCCACACTGTGCTGCAAACACTTGCCCCGGTCACCTGTGCCCTTCACAGTCATGACCATCCTAGCCAGGCATTTTTCTACCGTAATCTACCTAATCAACCCTGACCAGGCTCAGCTGCTCCCACTGCTGAGTGCTACAAACTGCACCGCAGTGAGCTCTCTTGTACTCACCTCTTGACTGACATTTCCCATGACTTCTTTAGGACAGATTTGTAGAAATGGAATTTTTCTAAAGAGACCTTTTCAAAGTTCTCAACACAATCTCAAGAAAGGTTATACCAGGGTTCAACTGTGCTATAGACGCCCCTGTTCCTCACCTATTTTATTCTGCAAAATCATATGTATTTTAATACCTTTTCTAGTTATTTTTGGACTAACAAAAATTTTTTAATGATTCGAGTTCACCATCATGTGCTGTATAACAGGGACGTCCCTAGGAACATGGCAGGGCCCAAGAATTCAAAAGGGTTTTTCGAATTTTCATGCTTGATTTTGCTTTACATGTAGAGCAGTGACTAAGCCGTACCGGCAGGTGTGAGGGGGGGCTCCCTCCCATCTGCTCCCCCAGCAGCCCCCCTCGAGGTGGCAGTGGCAATACACAGAGGGCAGAGGCCACGTGGGGTCACGTGGCTCGTTTACTCAGGTCGATCCCAACCCACCAGATGAAGACCCCAGCAAAGGCGTCCTGATTCCTGCATCAATGACCGTTCTCTGCACAAACTGCTCCAGCCACCACACCAGGATCCCCCTCTCCCTAGTCCCCTAAGTTCTCCTAAGAATGTCAAGGCGGACCGGTCTCCTCCAGATCACTGGGGCTGGGGGAGAGACATTCATTCCCCACTTCTCGTGTTTCCACAGAGAAGAGGGAATTTCTACTTCAGCCCAAGAGGAAAGCTTGGGAGGGACCCTCTCCATTTCTCTGTCCTGTCCCCAGGCTAGGAGTATGGAGTCCACGGTAATTCTAAGGGAAGACCTGAGCAGCTCCCGCAGAGTGTCTTCCCACTCCGGCCCTACCTGTGCAAAGTGAGGGCAACACGGCTCGCTGATGAACACACAGGCTTCCCCACAGTGATGCAGGGAACACACTAGCTGGCACAATCACCGCTCAGCATGCTTTATGGCACCTGACCCTGTACCAGGGAATCGCAGACTCATGACTCTCATTAAGAGACACGGCCCATTCCAGTCGACCACGGTCACTGGCTTTCTGAGGGTCAATTTGCCCCGACCTGGCCAACCCTCTTTCGAGCTGGCTTTCTGGACTGTCACCTGCTTCCTCGACACCTCTGTGAAAGCACTCCTGCTTCTGACAAGGAAGCCTGGGCCCCATTTCTGTCTCTGCCTTAGTATTCTCCACACACTTTAACCTACTGACTCCAGAAATTACCTACTAACTCGAGGAAAAAGCCACAAAGAAGCAAAGGACAGGCATACTCACTAGTCTGTCACCTACCTGCATTTCTCTGGGTGCTCATCACGCTTGTTGTTAAAGTCCAGAGATATCTTTGCATCCAGGCCAATGCCAAAATAGTTGTTCATGACACACTTCTCTGTATAATACTCTCTGCAAGGTTGAGTTTTAAATCAATTACAACAGGTCTGCTTAGAAGTTTTCTTTCACAGACTCCCAACCTCTCAGCATTTCCTCCTTAGGGCAAAACTGACACCTTTTTCTTTTTTTTTCGGTTAAGAGCTTTTCTGAGATACAATTCACATACATTTTCCAATTTAGAATGTACAATTCAATGATTTTTAGTACATTCACAGTCATGTAACCATCACTACAATCGATTTCAGAATATCTCATCAACCCCCAGAGAAAGCCTGTTCTCTTTAGCCTCAGTTCCCAACTCCCCAGCCCCAGGCTAATCTACTCCCTGTCTCTATAGATGTGCCTATTCTGAACATTTCACATAAATGCAGTCAAACAATGTGTGGTCTTCTGCGTCCAGCTCCTTTCCCTTAGCATGGTGTTTTCAAGGTTCATCCACGTGTCAGTACTTCATTTTCACTGACAAATAATATTCCACTTTACGGACATACTGCATTTTGTTTATCTGCTCATAAGCTGATAAGACATTTGGGATGTTTCACCTGTTGGTTATTTGTAAACAATTGTTCACAAGCTTTAGTGTGAACGTATGTTTTCAATGCCCTCAGGTATATACCCAGGAGCAGCACTGCCGGGTCATGTGCTGGCCCCGGGTCTAACCTTCTGAGGAACTGCGGCCTGTCCTCCAGGACCGCGGCGCCACCTTACACGCCCACCAGCAGCGCCGAAACTGAAGGTAACTTATGGCACATAAACTCGTGTTTGAAACCCAGCTTCACCCTCCCCCCATTACCATGGCTAAGCCTCCTCCCAAGCCACAGGGTCACAATGGTGTTCCCTCCAGGACAGGGGGTGAAGGGAGGAGCCGCTGCTCCTCTACCCAGAGGATGCAGCAAGAAGAGTCCATCTGGGAGTTTTCATAGCAACTCAGTTGGGTGGATGGGCTTGGGCACACTGCTTGGACCATAATTCTGATATATTTTAGCTTACTGAGCTTTTGCAGCCTGACCTGAAAACCAGTTACCACATATATGTGTTTTTATGATACGTCTACTTCAAGTGCCTAACAGCCAAGCGAGGGCAAAGCTTGGTGACAAAACTGTTTCCAACCTGAGGACCACGTGACTAACCAGTATCTATAGGTCCTGGGAAAAGAGCGAGGTCTAACCCAGAGAATCAGGCCCAGGACAAGGGAGGGGGGGTAGAGAGACTGGGTCCTGCAGGAGGGTTGGCAGCCTCCCATGCACTGGGAGACGACAGGCTCGGGAGGCCTGCCTCAGGCCAAGCTGCGATGGCCACAACTGCTGGAGTGCACACAGTGGGGAAGGCAAGAGAGCACAGCTTTTGCCTCCCCAGGTGAAGAGGAGAGAAAGGAAAGAGAACATCAGGCTTAGCCACGGACTAGAAGCTTCAGTGATCTCAGCTGAAGGAGAAAGTTCGTGCAGGAGGCCCCTGTGGGCACCACCCATAGAAGGATTGCGGCTCTGGCTTCACTGAGGACCACAGCATCAGGAAGGCTCAGGACCAGGCCCAGGCCCAGGACACATAGAAGGATTGCGGCTCTGGCTTCACTGAGGACCACAGCATCAGGAAGGCTCAGGACCAGGCCCAGGCCCAGGACACTGTGTGTCCCCCCAGGCCAGCACCTGGGGTCTACAGTTCCACTTTCCCAAACCCACACAGCCTCTGTGAGCCACAGACTTGACACTGTCCCCCACCAGGCCAGATGCAAATGGTTGGCAACTTTTAACCTACTGCCACTAGCCCCCCAGTGCCCAGAACCTGCAGTCAGCCAGCAGAAAGAAAAGTCCAGAAGAATGGATTTTCAAAATACCACTCGTCTCTGTGATGGTCTCTAATACACAAGATGGCTCTATCACGATGCTGCATCAACGTCATCAGTGCCTTAGGAAGTGGGCAGAGGAAGGAGCCACATTCCCAAGGGTGCAGCGGCAGCCAGCGTGAGGAGCACAGAGCAGCAGCACACACCTTCCTCCTTAAGGTCAAAGCACAGGATGGTCATCACCCTGGGCTGCAATAAGTGGCCAGACGAAGGTCACCTGGAGGACCTTCAGCCCAGGAACCTGATTCTGCATCACTAACAAGAAGGCAGGAGCATGAATGACAAGAGGAAGAAAGAGGTTGTGAGGAGAGGTAACAGCGCGGGCCAGCCAAGATCACCAGAGAGTGACAGCCAGAGGGGACGGTGAAGGACTAGGACAAAGTCGGCCTCCAGCAGGAATTCCTGAACCTGCCGAAAGCCTCAGAAGGTGACGCATATTCATGGGACACTGGTGCATGCTGTCATGGGACCCTAGGGACAAGCTGCAAGAGGCTCCGTCCTTCACCTTTCTGCAGCTGATTCCGGGTGTAGCTTCCTGGTGCTCCTTCAGCTGGGCCTTCCAAGCCCCTGGGTTTCCTTAGCAGCTCACGCCGGCAGGAAAGGACTGTCTAGTCAGCTGCTCCCTAACGTCTCTAGCTAATTCACAAGTCAGATTTCCATGCTCGAGCGTACTTCTAAGAAACATGCCCACTTGTTACCCTCATACTCACAGGTTTTCTGGTTCGGAGTTAAAGGGATCAGCATTAATTAATAAGCGACTGATGACTGAGCCCCCAGGCAAGGAACCAGACATCCCGGCCCGGACATCTGCACGGGAGACAAAGGCAAGAGACGGGGCTGGTGAGGAGCTCACATTCCTGTCTCTGAAGCTGATGGACACAGAACCTTGTTACAATTGTACATTTCTAAAGTAATGCGTAAATGCGCCCAAATTTTGATAATCACCATATTTATGGAACAAAAACAAACATACTGGGCAGTAGAAACCAACATCTATGAGACATCTCAAAAATGGCTTATAAAAAGAGTTCTCGCTAAATGTAAGAAGCTCCACCAAATGATCTCTTATGCACATCTTAGAGTTCAGTCCCACAGCTTCACAAGGCTAAATTCATGACATATAAACATCAAGGGACACTCCAGATGGCCAGAACCCTCAAGCTACTAGCGCCTTCTGCGGTCATGCTAGGAACAGTGGAATGACTTCACTGGCCTTTGTCACAATTTGCCCACCCCTCCCTTTTCATTCAGGTACCCCTACTGATTCTTCAAAACCCAATGTAAGCATCACCTTCTTACTTAATGATGTCCTTCTGGGTCCTCCCAGGCAGTTATTTGGGTTCTAAAAAGGGCACTTTTCATATAATCATGTTAACTTTTAAGTCTCCTTCCCATGGACCTACAAACTCTCCAAAGGCAGTGACTCCATCTTACTCATTCAGACAGGCCCCGGCCGGTGCTGGTGAGTTCAGGGCCACTGCCTGCCTCCTTCCACTGACCCACAGGGGGTGGGGTGGGGAGGGACGACACTCACGTGGGTACAGGATCTTGGTGTTTAGCGCAGGCAGGCAGTCCCGGCTTCCTGACTGGGGAGGAAGAGAGGCAGAGCTGCCCAGAGACAAACTTCCTTTGCTGATCAGCTTTTCACATGGGGATTTAGACACTATAACAGAACAGAAAACCTTAAGGCTGTCTGAAATAGAACACCACTGAAATACTGGGGGTTTCATCAGCAAAACGAACAGAAGGGGGGTGCCGACGAAGGGGGAAGATTACAAACCACTGGTCAGCCCAGTGGAAAGTGTGCAAGACAAGGAAAAAGGTCCCGTGCAAGGCGGGGCGGGATTAGGAGGTGGCTCCTAGGCACAATCTGGACTGGGGAAGATGAAGCCGCCACATATGCAGAGGTCTGAGTGGTAACAGAATACAGGTCATGGAGTCAACTCTGAGCAGATTCTCCCAGTGGCCTGGACAGGCTGGGCGGAAGGGTGCCCCCTCCACATGAGGTGCCTATGCTAGGGTCTATTCCAGGACGGCAAGGGTCCCGTCCCTCCAGGCACAGCCCCTTCTGAGCAGTCGTGTGGGGTACGTGGTGGCTCTAAGGACAGCAAGCAAGGGAAGGACACCATGCAGTCCTCCTCCATGGACAGTCCTCTCCCTGCCCAGGGAGGTCTCCTGGTTCCACCAGCGTCCACCAAACCGCACATGCCTCAAGTGCACGTGCAGGTGACGCAGAGGAGCAGGCCGTGGGCTGTGCACTGCCATCTGGCTACGCTGCCCAAGCGACTATGACGAAGCTCCCTACAACTCCCCCAGCAAGCTCGCCAAGTGTCACCAACACCACGGCCCCGACCACAGCGCAGCAGAAAGATGGGTGCGGACGGTACCTTTGCGCTGACTCCTCCCCTTGATGACCCCGCAGCTCTCGCTGTGGGACAGCGGTGGGCACACCCTGTCATCCGTCTTCTCCTCTGACTGAGAGAGACCAAGGACGAACCCCTGCTGCTCCTGGGTCTGTGCGTTCTGCTCATCAACAGCTGTGTGAGGAGAGCGTTTGCAACCAGGCATGTGAGGATTAAACCCTCGGACACGCCTGGCTGCAGAGTCCCCTCCTCATATCGTGGCTTCATTTCCTCAAATGTCCTCTGGCTCAAGGCTGAGCCCCCAAAGTCCCCACCCCCACCTCCTCCTGGTCCCCGCACACGGTCAATAGGACGGTGCCCGGGCATCTGTGCTATCAGGCCCGGGGTACGAGGAGGATTGAGGGGCTGGAAGACACGCTGCACAGCGGCGCAGAGCCGCAACCCCGGGTTCCCGCCGACATGGCGCGGGGGCACCTGCCCGGCAGGAAAGGAGTCTGAAGCCAGGGAGACAGTGTAGGAGGTTTCTGAGGGAAGTGAGGGTGAAAACGGCCAAGGACCAGCAAACTTGCTGAGTAGGGGCCTGGGGGTCTGAGTGGTGGAGGAGACAGTAAAGGCCCCAGGCCACGTGGATTTTCCAGTGTGTTCTTTTTGGGCTATCACCATGTTCGGGGGGAAACTGGCAATGCCCAGAGCTTGCCTGAAGAAAGCCGCCCGCTGTCACAGCGATTACCTTTCTCCGTGTGCTCTATGATCTGGCGAATCGCCTTCTTCAGGCTGTTGGCTCTCAGCATGAGTTGCTCCCGAGGCCGGAATATCTGGGGCCGGGCCGGGCACGCCGACCCCACTGAGTGGTCCCCAGAGGGGCTACAGACGCTGCCTGCCCCGTCTCCATCTTCAGCCTCCTCGGCAATGGTGGGGGGTGGGTTGGACAGAGAGGACGAGGCCTGGGACTCGTCATCCAAGGTCTTGAGGAGAGAGTCCAGCTTCTCTTTCAGGACCGAGCACTGGGCGGGGAGTGACACGGCATGGAGTGACACGGCATGGAGATCGTGCTTCCCCGAGTCTGGACACCCCTCCCACCCGGGGCCCAGGACGGACCTTCTTGGCCATGGCCTCTGACTCCTCGGAGCTCTCAGTCGTCTTCTCGTAGGCCTTCCCCACCCGGGCCACAAAGTCCTTCACGGTCTCACATAGCACTCTGCAGGAGGGACAGGCCACTCCTGGAGGGACAGCTCAGGCTGGCCGAGCCCCTGCCTCCCCCAAGGCCACCAGGCACTCACTTGGCTGATGAGATCACCACTGAGTGCTGGTCCGAAGTCAGGATTTTAGAAAGATGGGCTGCCACCGAGTCTTCATAGAAAAGAATTTGCTGCACCTACAATCAACCCAAAACAGCACGGGGGCTGTTAGTCTCTGTGATTGTGAGCCCCGTGATGCTGAGCCCAGTGATGGTCTCACCCACTTCCTGCTGGTGCAGGCCTGGCAAGATGGCTTTTTCCTAACAGACACGGTCTCAGCCAGCCAAAGCCTCAACTTGCTTCATGCACTAACATGAGATCCCCCAGTGCTATGTGAAAGATTTCAAAAGCTTGGTCAAAGCCATGGACAAACTGAAAAGGTGACTCTTAAAAAAGAACACGTCAAAATATACAAACAGCATGTGCTTTAGTATGAGATCCCCCCAGCAGCCTGCGCTGGGAACTTCCGTCTTTAATCCCGTTTCAGTTAGAGTAACACCGTGGCAGGCAGGCTCCGGGACCTGGGCTGCATTCACAGCAGATGCCGCGTTTCTACCTGGCTGTAAGTTCTATCGTGCTGTGAGCTATCCCCTTCACCACTCGCTGCCTGCTGAACCAGGACCTCTGCCCTGTGTAATGATGGCTGTCTCCAGGCCCTGGCCCCAGGGCTGGCAAACTTTACCACTGGCCTGATACTGAGTAGTCTAGGCTTTGTACACATATTCTTCCTCTTAAATCTTGAAAACACAAACAAAAAATTTTAAAAAGTATAAAAGAAAACAAGTGTACATACACACACACACACACACACACACACACACACACACTTTTAAAAATAAAAAAAAATCTTGAAAAATGTACAGAACGTTCTTGGCTCGGATGGCCTTGTCGAGTACACGCGGGCAGATTCGGCCTGTGGACCTCATTTGCTGCCGTAGGCCCTGATAAAGGCTCCCCTCTCTCTAGTGCCCTTGACCCTCTCAACCCAGAGACTGCCGTGGGCAGAGTCCTCTCTCACACTTGGCTAGTGGCCAGCCCGCCCAGAGGAGCCAAGCACAGCCGTGCCCGGCACTGCCCCAGTGCAGGACATAAAATGCAGAAGACCAAGTCTGTTCCCCTAGGGAACCGACAGCACAGAGTTAAAACACGGCAGTAACCACCACCAGACAGGAAGAACTCAGCACTGAACCAGAGTCAGCTACTGGAAGGGGCAACAGGCATGGAGGGCACCTGGGCCACTGCACATGTCCCAGAGGACTGATGTGGCAGGGGGCCTGGGGCACTCGGGCATGGGGGGGACAAACACAGACCCAGCAGGGGCCTCTGAGAGGATGCACTAGGAGAACAGGAGTCACAGGGACACTCATTAGGAAGGCCCCCCAAATCCTGGTGATAACTCCAGGAAACCTCTAGATGGTTACGAGGCCCAAGAGTCCTCCGTGAAGGGAAGTTAGAGCCCACTGGCCTCTAGCTCGGCCTCAGTTCACTTGCGCCTCTGGGGCTCGCTGCGACAGCCCGTCACCAGAGGGGCCGAGGAGGACAGTGAGATCGTGCAAGCAGGGTTTAAAGAGCAACCTGGCAATTAGTACCTCAGAATCCTCACTGAAGTCTTCGGTGACGGTGGAGGAGGAGGCCTGCCGAGGGAGTCTGCTCTCGTACGCCATGATGCTCCACCTGCACACACACAAGGTCAGCTCCAGCCGGGCCTCCACAAGCATGGGCAGCTGAGGACGGCTGGGGACATGCAGACCCCAAAGGCAGACCCTGCACCACCTCCCCTTTCCTGACCTGGGGCCTTCATCTTAGCATAGTTTTGGACTTCACTGTTAAAAGCCCTTTGTCTGGACTCTGTGACCTGTGGCTTGCCTGAGAACAAATGTCTTCACTCCACAACCAAAAGGGCACACACAACAGCTCCACTGAAAGAGGGGAAATGCACCCCATAAATGGCTGCCCTCAAGATAAGAGGCTCCTTCTGGGAGAAATGGATTTACCTTCCTCAGAGAGCTGCAGACTGCTCAGCCAGCAGCCAGATGGCCCAATGGGGACGAGCATTTCTTTTTTTTTAAAAGATGACCGGTAAGGGGATCCCAACCCTTGACTTGGTGTTGTCAGCACCACGCTCAACCAGTGAGCGAACCAGCCATCCCTATATAGGATCCGAACCCATGGCCTTGGTGTTTCCAGCACCGCACTCTACCAAGTGAGCCACGGGCCGGCCCGGGGACGAGCATTTCACAGGCACCAAAGGCACACAGACAGACCTTCCTTAAACAGAGGCAGCCTTGACACAGCAGGGACACTTCAAACCCCGCCTGCCATCACCTCTTCCACGTGCTGAGCGCGATGAGGAAGCCCCCGCATCAACACCCACGTGCTGCAGGTGCAGGGTGCATGGGAGGCCATGCGTCTAGCTCAGAACTAACAGCATGCCGCTCGAGAAGGGTGCCGATGCACCTCTGAGCACGAGAGGGTGATTGCTCCAGACATGCTCTTCAGAGAACAGAATATGGGAAAACGGAATCGCTACAATATGCAAGAAGAAGCACTTTGCTGGGGGGCCTCAGATCCTGGGCTGAGACAGCCAAAGGTTCTCTACGGCCCCGACAGAACTAGGCTTGGCCTCATGAGAAGACCTGGCCATTCTAGGGTGTGGTTCTTAATCCATGTTGTTTGTTTTTAACCTTTTCATAATTTAACCAAAAACCAAAGACTACCAGAAAAGGGGAATATATGCTCAGGTCAAATTTTTACAAATAGCTTCAGCGGGTGCATGGTTTCCACAGACCCCAGGTGAAGAGCACGTGGCCAAGGAGACCTGTTTCTCAAAAGAGCTTCCCCTCATGCAGCGGTAGAGCATGTCCCACTCACCTGTCCAACATCTTGGTGCTCGCTCTTTCCAGCTTTTCCAGGATCTGGGGGAGCTGGGCGTCGTCATCACAGGCCGAGCCCCAGCCGAGCACACGTGCCAGGTCGTTCCCTGTCCCGAGGGGCAGCACCCCCAGCTGGCACTGACAGGGACGGTGGTAAAGACATGTGTCAGTCAGTCAGCTGGAAAGGGGAGCTGTCTCCACCATGCCCACTCCATCACCCACAACGATGGCTAAATTAGGTATGTGGGGAATGTGATCTAGAACGGTATGGGGCTTGTCCATCCTAGGCACAGCCCACAAGAGGAGAGAAATGGTCTTTGCCATCTGATTAAAAACACCAGGGTCATGGACCCCTCTTTCTCCCACAGGCCTCTCCCTCAGCTATTGCCACATCTTGACAATCAACCTTTCAGGACCTCTCGGATCTATGTTTCCAAAATCCCCTTCTTTCCCCACTTTCACTGCTATGACCCCAACCCTGAAGAATCATCCTACAACTCCCCACCACCTGGTTCTCCATCCACCACGTCTCACAGGCTAACGCCAAATTCATCTTCCAAAACATCTCTAGTATTGGGCCGGCCCGGTGGCGCACTGGAGAGTGCGCCGCTTGGGAGCACGGCGGCGCTCCCGCCGAGGGTTCAGATCCCATGTGCGACACTGAGGGTTGCGATCCCGTTACCGGTCAGTAAAAAAAAAAAAAAAATCTCTAGTATCACTTCACTCTAAAAACATCTTTAGCTTCTAAGATCTAAAACATCTGTAGCTTCTAAGTCCCATCAAAAAAAGGTGCCAGGACTGTCCCCAGTCTGGATGCTGACTTCAAGCATGCCCCAGGGCTGAGTCTGCATCCACTCCCCAAACAAACCTCAGAAGCTGTTCACATCTCACCCTCCACTGGGAATTCCCACCCCAGATCCCCCATTGAAACCCCACCATACCAACTACGTGCTTAGGAGGCCTCCCTGCTATGGGTTAAATGGGTCCCCCAAAAGTGCATGTGTTGGAAACTTGACCCCTATTGTAACAGTGTTAAGAGGGTGGGAAATCCAATTATGGTATGTGAAAGGTGGGGCCTTTAAGAGGTGACTGGATCATGAGGACCACATTCTCATAAATGGATTAATCCACTCATGATGTAATGGGTTAATGGGTTAATGGGTTATCATGGGCATAGACCAGTGGCTTTACAAGAAGAGCACATGAAAGAGCTCTTGCCATTCTCGCCATGTGACACCGTGCATAGCCACGGGACTCTGTACAGAGCCCCCACCAAGAAGAAGGTTTTCGCCAGATGTGCCCCCTATACCTTGAATTTCCCAGCCTCCAAAACTATGAGAAATAAACCTCTTTTCTTTTTTTTTTTT